GTTGTTGAGGCTTCAGTGTGTTTTTCTTTTAAACAAATGTTTTCTGCTGCATTTCTTGATGCTGAAAAATAAATAACTTGCCGTATTTACTGTAAACGAAATAAATGAGGGTTGGTCTCTGACTTTTGCACTTTACTGTAACTACACACCAAACGCAAAACATCACTGATATTTTAAACTCCAAACCTATGCTGGTTGGAAAATGCTGACTGGACAATACAAATTTCACACTGTGAGAGCCATATCAAATTTGAGCCTACTGTGGTTTTGGAATCTTCCAAATCTCTAGCCAGGAAGGCCAGGTTTCAGGCGAAACAACATCGGTGAGCATCAATAATGCTCATGTGTAGCCTGGTGCTCTGTTGGTGTTCTTCACATTGACTCACACACTCTCAGGGCACATCTATAAACTGTGTCAATGTGCCATCACCTCATTAGTGGCAACAAAAGAGAACTGCAAAATACTTGGGGGCTGACACTGTGCAGGAGCACCAGTTATCTCAGTTACAATTTATCTGAAGGCTACTTACATAGGGCCTTTATAACACACGCAAAAGCACTGAACAACATGTTTATAAAGCAATACCTGAATGCTAGTAATCGCAAGACGACATATAACATAAGATGTTATGAAGTAAATGATACTGTGTTGACATAAGTGGCTATTCGGAAACGTCTAGGCCTAGTTTAGAACAACATATATCGGTTCTGTGGAAGATTCTGATGCCAGTACACAGGTAACGTGACCATAAACAAGTTGCTATCTCTCAAGTTTACCTCAGGTCTCACATGATACAGCTAAGAAAGTAGCTCTGAGACTGATATTTTGGGCATTAATGGCTAAAAAATTATCTCCTCAATGGACAGCTCTGACATCCGGTCCTTTACATGTAGCCACATGTGCAGTTATACATGAAATAAATTGCAATTCTTTAGATTTACCTCCAGTCTCACAGGGTATAGCTATGAAATTACATCTTCAAGAGAGAACACTGACATTTGGTCACTTCCATACAGCTGTAAAACAGGACACAAGTTGCCATTCCTTATATTTACCTCAGGTCTCACTGATATATCCAAGAAATTCGCTCTGAGACTGATATTTCGGACATTAATGTCATTGTTCTCTACTGATGGCTAAGAATTCAATAGAGAACCCCGACATTTGGCCTTTTCCATACAGGTATATTTGCAGTTACACATGACACAAGTTGCCATTCCTCGAGTTTACCTCAGGTCTGACATCGTATAGCTAAGAAATGACCTCTTCAGTGGAGAACCCTGACATTTGGTCATTTCTATATGGGTACATTTGCAGTTATACATGACATAAGTTGCCATCCCTCAAGTTTACCTCAGGATTCACATGATACAGCTAAGAAATTAGCTCTGAGATGGCTAAAAAACGATCCCGTCAGTGGGAAACTCTGACATTTGCTCCTTTCCATATAGCTATATGTGCAGTTATACATGAAATAGGTTGCCATTCTTCAGATTTACCTCAGATCTAACAGAGTACAGCTAAGAATTGAGCTCTTCAGTGGAGAACCCTGACATTTGGTCATTTCCATACAGGTATGTGTGCAGTTACACATGACACAAGTTGCCACTCCTCGAGTTTACCTCAGGTCTCATGTCGCATTGCTAAGAAATGACTTCTCACACTTTCATTTGCACACTGGGCAATTTTCATATAGCTATAACACACGAAACTAGCTATAACTCAAGATGTAACAGGGTATAGCTACGAAATTAGCTCTAAGGCTAGTATTTTATCATTTCCATTCAGCTACATGTGCAGTGGTACATGAAATATGTTGCCGTTCCTCAAGTTTACCTTAGGACTCATAGCTCTACAAATGAAAACACCATCTATTCAGCTGTAACACATGACGCTAGTCATCATACTTCAGGTTTACCTCAGATCTCACATCATGTAGCTAAGATATTAGCTCTGAGACTGATATTTGGTTGTTTCTATACAGGCGTGTGTGCAGTTGTACATTAAATATGTTCCCATGCCTCAAGTTTACCTCAGGACTCGGATGGTATAGCTCTACAAACGAAAAACACTGACTTTTGGTCACGTCTATACAGCTGTAACACATGACACTAGTCATCATAACTCAAGTTTACCTCAGATCTCACATTGTCTAGTTAAGAAATTAGCTCTGAGACTGATATTTGACCATTTCCATACGGCTATGTGGACAGTTATACATGAAATATGTTGCCGTTCCTCAAGCTTACCTCAGGACTCGGATGGTATAGCTCTACAAACGAAAACGCGGACTTTTTGTCACATCTATTCAGCTGTAACACATGACGCTAGTCATCATACTTCAAGTTTACCTCAGATCTCACATCATGTAGCTAAGATATTATCTCTGAGACTGATATTTGGTTGTTTCTATACAGGCGTGTGTGCAGTTATACATGAAATACGTTGCCATTCCTCAAGTTACAAGTTTACTCAAGTTTACCAAAGATCTCACATTGTCTAGTTAAGAAATGATACAGCTAAGAAATTAGCTCTGAGACTGATATTTTGGGGATTAACATCAGTGTTCTCCACTGATGGCTAAAAAACGATCCCGTCAGTGGGAAACTCTGACATTTGCTCCTTTCCATATAGCGATATGTGCAGTTATACATGAAACAAGTTGCCATTCTTCAGATTTACCTCAGGTCTAACAGAGTATAGCTAAGAATTGAGCTCTTCAGTGGAGAACCCTGACATTTGGTCATTTCCACACAGGTATGTGTGCAGTTACACATGACACAAGTTGCCACTCCTCGAGTTTTATTAGCTCTAAGACTGATATTTGATCATTTCCATATGGCTATGCGGACAGTTATGCATGACACAAGCTGCCATTCCTCAAGTGTACCTCAGGACTCACACTGCACAGCTAAGAAAGCAGCTCTCAGACAACTTCCATACAGCTACAACACATAACACTAGCGATCATAACGCAAAGTTACCTTAGGTATAACCGGGAATAATTCAGAAATTATGCCTGAGGCTGATATTTGATCATTTTTATACAGGCATGTGTGCGGTTACACCTGAAATCAGCTGCTGCTTCTCAAGTTTACCTCAGATCTCACATCGTGTAGCTGAGATATTAGCTCTGAGACTGATATTTGGCCGTTTATTTACAGGCATGTGTGCGGTTACACATGACAAGTTCTCATTCCTCATGTTTACCTCACATTGCATAGCTAAGAAAGCAGCTCTCAGACTCAGACCGTCATTTGGACATTTGGTCCTTTCCACACAGCTCAGTGCTGCCATTCTTCAAATTCGGTTCTTGTCTGCTATGGCTAATAAATTAGCTATTAGACTGACAGCTGGTCTTTTCCACACAGACAACACCTGACAAGTTGTTGTTCCTCAAATCATACAGCTAAGAAATGACCTCTCACACTTTAATTTGCACACTGGACAATTTCCATACAGTTATAACACATGACACTAGTTATAACTCAAGGTCTAACAGGGTATAGCTAAGATATTAGCTCTGAGACTGATATTTGGTCGTTTATACAGGAGTTTGTGCAGTTACACATGATACAAGTTGCCACTTCTCAAATTTACCTCAGGCCTCACATCTAACAGCTAGGAAAGTAGCTCTCATGCTGTCGTTTGCACACTGGATCATTTCCATACAGCTGGAACACACGGCACTAGTTGTCATTCCTCAAGTTTACCTCAGATCTCACATCATGTAGCGAAGATATTAACTCTGAGGCTGATATTTGGTCATTTCCATACAGCCATGTGTGCAGTTATACATGAAATATGTTGCCGATCCTCAAGTTTAACTCACGGATCGGATGGTATAGCTCTACAAACGAGAACACTGACCTCTGGTCACGTCCATACAGCTGGAACACATGACGCTAGACATCATAACTCAAGTTTACCTCAGATCTCACATCGTGTAGCTAAGATATTATCTCTGATACTGATATTTGGTCATCTCCACACAGCCATGTGTACAGCTATACATGAAATAAGTTGCCGTTGCTCAAGTTTACATCAGAATTCACGCTGTGTATCAAAGACAATAGCTCTGAGACAGATATTTGGCCGTTTCTATACAGGTATGTGTGCAGTTACACATGACACGAGTTGCCATTCCTCAAGTTTACCTCAGGCCTCACATCGCACAGCTAAGACTATCTCAGACTGCCATTTGCACACTGAACAATTTCTATACAGCTATAACAAAGAACACTAGTTATAACTTAAAGTGTAATAAGGTATAGCTAAGATATCAGCTCTGAGACTGATATTTGGCCATGTTATATGTGCAGTTATATATGATACAAGTTGCCATTCCTCAAGTTTACCTCAGGACACACATCTCACAGCTAGGAAAGCAGCTCTCAGACTTTCCTTTGCACACTGGATCATTTCCATACAGCTGTAACACACGGCACTCACTGTCGTTCCTCAAGTTTACCTCAGATCTCACATCGTGTAGCTAAGATATTAACTCTGAGATCGATAGAGGGTCGTTTATATACAGGTAGGTTTGCAGTTAAACATGGCAAGTTCTCCTTCCTTAAGTTCACCTCACACTGCATAGCTAAGAAAGCAGCTCTCAGACTCTCATTTGGACATTTGGTCCTTTCCACACAGCTCAGTGCTGCCAATTCACCTGAGTTCCTGTCTGGCATGGCTAATCAATGAGACTGACAGCTGGTCTTGTCCATACAGCCAACACCTGACACAAGTTCCCATCCTATAACTAAGAAAGTAGCTCTCAAACTGCCAACTGGACATTCGGTCATGTCATCACACCTACTAAAGCAGTGATCATTTGTGCGCTTTCCCTCACCCAGCGCACCTGACTCACCTCATTAACCAATTAACACGTGCTGGCTCAGGTGTGTCTCCCTACAATGAACCCAATGAAGTGACCTGCTCGCTCGCTCAGGTCCTTCTTTTCTTCTCTACTGTGTTCGTTTGTTTGCTTTCTCGGACCCACCTTGACCGGGGAGCTCCGCGTGGCGCTGGTCGAGTCCCTCAGCGCTGTGCCCGGGGGAGACGCCGCCATCCCGGCCGCCCCTCCGAGCCCCATCCCCGGCCTGCCTCCGCCCCGCTGCGGCCGCTGGCGGATGCCGTCCAGCAGGCGCACGAGCAGGATGTTGGCGGGCAGGTCGTCCACGCCGCAGTCCACGAGGATGCGGCACTCCGGGCAGCGCAGCTCGTGCCTCGAGCTGACGATGTTCTCCAGGCAGCGGCGGCAGAAGGTGTGCTGGCACGGCAGCACTTTGGCGGTGGTGTCCAGGCGCTCCAGACAGACGGAGCACTCCAGCAGGTCCAGCAGGGAAGACTCGTCCATCTCTAACGGCGCGCGCGGCAACGCGGTCAGTCTTTCAGCGGGCTCGACCGTCGACGAGAGCGCGAAGAAGCGGGTCCGCGAGCGCGGCGCGAGACATGCTGGCTGAACGGCGCGATCCTCCTCTCTCACACACACACACAGAGAGAGAGAGAGAGAGAGAGAGAGAGAGAGAGAGAGTCGGCGGAGCTCAGAGTGAGTGCAGCGCGGGAGCTCTCTCTCTCTCTCTCTCTCTCTCTCTCTCTCTCTCTCTCTCTCTCTCTCTCTCTCTCTCTCTGTCTCTCTCTCCCCCCCGACACACACACATAAACACAGCTGTGTGATCGCCAGTAGAAAATAACAGTAGAGCAGAAGAGAAACTCAGTGATGTCACAGACTCTGCAGCGCTGCTCTCACAGAAGAGGCGACAGCGTTCAGTAACCATCACGTTATTTTCACAAATACATTTATTTACTTTATTTTAATGTCTAACTAAGAAATAACATTCAAAATGTATGAGATGTATTTATTTATTTTTAGAAATGCGTTTATTTTTTGTGTTTTCTCTCTATTTTTTATTTATTTATTTATTTATTTAATACTAATAAAGTGAAATTGAAATGTAGTTTTAATTTGTAACAAAGAAATTACATTTAAATGTATCAGATTTATTTTTTGTTTTTCTTATTCATTTATTTATTTATTTATTTATTAAAATAACTTTTAGAAATGTAAATATCTTTTATTTGCTGATTTTTTTTATTTTTATTTCAGTGTGTAAATGAAATGTCCTGTGTGTGTGTGTGTGTGTGTGTGTGTGTGTGTATATATATATATGTATATTTATATATGTATATATACACATATATGTGTGTGTATATGTATGTATATGTGTGTATATATATATATATATATATATACATACGTGTGTATGTATATATATATATATATATACACACAAATATATGTATATATATATACACATACACATATATATATTTATATATGTATATACATATACATATGTATATAAATAAATTCATTTTCATGTAATTTTTTACAAACCCATGGTGTGCAAATAACAATCTCTGATTGCACGTTGACTAAATACTTTGATATTTTTATCTTATTTTTCTGGATTTTTTGTTTGTTTGCTTTTTAAGAGTTTTTTAGAAATGCAGTTTTATAGTGAGGCTTTATTCCTCTAAGAAAGTGAAAAAGTTTCACGTTTCACTTTAATCGGCTAATAAGATGTTTCACTTCAACCAATCAGACGTCTCTTTTTTATAGGCCTCCTTTACATACCAAGCTGATATTAACAGTGAGTGACTGCTGCCCCCTGCTGCAGCACAGCTGAATCACACGGTGTGCAACACTGGAGGCCTGAATCATGTTCTAATGCAGTGAAGAGAGAACCTCATTTTTTATGATTAATGTTTGAATTTGTTCTCTCACATTTATAATGAACCCACTTTGTGATCAAGGCAGTTGAGGCCGTCATCATTAGATCATAAAATTAAAATAAAACGTGCATCAGGCTTTTATTAATGTTTTATTTATTTGACATCTTGTCTGAAATTACGCTTTATTACCATCAACTTGATCTTATTTTATTTTCCTTTCTTTATTATTCTTCAAACCTGTTTATAGTTTGTTGGATTTTTTTTCTACAGTGTACTGTGTGTTTTGTTTTCATCTGCAGTGTTCATGCATCCATTTATCTGTACAGTACTGTGCAAAAGTCACCCTTCATTTTGCTGTTGATGGAACAAAATCTTGTATCTCTATTTTTGTCAATTTTCAGTTTTTGACATAATTTTAAAAAAAGCCTGTAACCCTTTACATTGTTTGTAAATTTAATGAAGAATAGACCCAAGAAAAGGCTCAAGATTACTTGTAAAACCGTCTGGTTCCATTGACTTACGTTAAAAGTGAAGTGTATTTTTTCCTTCTCCTGTAAAGTTACCATTTTGTAGATACAAGGTTTTGTTCCAATTTATTTATTTTCCAGTCAAAATGGCTATAAAGTACAAATTATTCAAAATAGAAAACAGAAAATTACACAGAAGCCTCAACAACCAAATAGATCACATTTTTCAGTATTTGGTCTGTCCACTCTTTATTCCAGCTTCCATTCTTTTCAGGAGACCTACTTTCAGTTCCTCAAAGAATCTGCAGACACACCTCCAAAGTTCAGTCTTAGAAGCTGGTTGATGATTTTCTGAAGTAATCAAACATTTTCAGAGGTGTTGAGGTCTGGACTCTGGGGTGGTCAGTCCATTGTTCAGCTTCTTTGTTTGATGTGTCCGTCTCCTTTTCTCAGTGAGGTTCTTCTTGACAGCTACACATCCTTTCAGACCCACAGCGCTGAGTCTTCTCACAGTGGAAGGATGGACAGAAACACCTGTGGATGTTTTCAGATCTGAAGCAGCTTGATTTTCTCCTCTCTCTCAGAGATGAAAGCTTTAAGTGCTGTTTATCTGATGGGGGCAGTTTTGGGGTCTACCAGCTCTTCCAGGTGGTTGTTAGGAGCCCCTTTTTCTCTTTTGAACTCCAGTTTTGGCAACGCCTACACTCTTAAAAAAAGATGGTTCTTAAAGGTTCTCTAGTAAAGAAAAGGGTTCTATATAGAACCATGAACACTCAAAGAACCCTTTGCATGCTTAAAGCGTTCTTTGCATGATGAAAGCGTTCTTCAGATTAATTGACAATGTGCTATAGATGTGCTATATAGCACCAAAAAGTGTTCTTCTATTGTTATTACTATTATTATTATTAAATTGTGATGTCAAGCTTGTGACAATAAAAGAACCTATTTTGGTGCTATATAGAACCCTTTTCAAAAAGCTTCTATATACACCGATCAGGCATAACATTATGACCACCTCCTTGTTTCTACGCTCATTGTCCATTTTATCAGCTCCACTTACTATATAGGTGCACTTTGTAGTTCTACAGTTACAGACTGTAGTCCATCTGTTTCTCTGATACTTTGTTAGCCCCCTTTTACCCTGTTCCTCAGTGGTCAGGACCCCCATGGACCCTCACAGAGCAGGTACTATTTGGGTGGTCCACTGCAGTAACACTGATGTGGTGGTGGTGTGTTAGTGTGTGTTGTGCTGGTACGAGTGGATCAGACACAGCAGTGCTGCTGGAGTTTTCAAACACCTCAGTGTCGCTGCTGGACTGAGAATAGTCCACCAACCAAAAATATCCAGCCAACAGCGTCCTGTCAAGGTGGACTGACAAGGTAAGAGTGTCTAATAGAGTGGACAGTGAGTGGACACAGTGTTTAAAACTCCAGCAGCACTGCTGTGTCTGATCCACTCGTACCAGCGCAACACACACTAACACACCACCACCACGTCAGTATTACTACAGTGCTGAGAATGATCCACCACCCAAATAGTACCTGCTCTGTGAGGGTCCATGGGGGTCCTGACCACTGAAGAACAGGGTAAAAGGGGGCTAACAAAGTATCAGAGAAACAGATGGACTACAGTCTGTAACTGTAGAACTACAAAGTGCACCTATATAGTAAGTGGAGCTGATAAAATGGACAATGAGTGTAGAAACAAGGAGGTGGTCAGAATGTTATGCCTGATCGGTGTAGAACCATCTACAGCACATTCTCCATCAGTCTAAAGAACCCTTTCATGATGCTAAGAACCCTTTTATCATGCAAAGTGTTCTTTGAATATTTATGGTTCTATCTAGACCCATTTTCTTTACTAAAGAACCCTTGAAGAACGATCTTTGTTAGGTGTGTAATCTCCTCAGAAATAATTTGTGCTTATTGGCCGTTTTAAATGAAAATGAAGTAAATTAAAGATGATTTTTGTCTTTTGCGCAGTACTGTATGTGTCTCTCCATCTGTATTTGTGTCCTCCTCGTTTTGAGGAGGTATCTACCTGTCCCTGCACGCCCAATTCACACACTCAATCATCTCCTAAATTATAGCTTCCAGCGCTCTTGCTGTATTGCTGCTGCCAGCAGAGTCATTTAGGGAAATGCTCGACGCATATAAGGCCTGTTAAGTCACAGGGATTTAACTTCCTGCTTCAGCCAGAACCTCCCCGACTGGACCACCCACGATGAGCAGCAGAATGCCGAGGTGAAGGCCATGAGGTAGAGACGGTTAGCAGCAGTGATTTACCTCTTTGTTTAATGGAAAACGTACAAAAGCACAAAACAAGATACAGAATAACCATCAGGGTTGCATGATGTATCAAAATATCAGTCCTCTTTTAAATTCTATAACATGCTAATCTGTTCAGTGCCCTAACATTCATACTCTCAGTTATTTATTTAAATAGACTAACTGTATAGACCAATTAAAATGTACATGCTAATTTGTCTCAGTTTGTCTCATCAGCATATCTAAAGGTTTTTTTCAGAATAAAACTAAACGTTTTATTTAGTAATTTATGTGACTTAATGTTTCGGGAAACAATCAACATAACATATATTTGTTTTAAACACAGTGTGATGAATGTTCAGCTATATTGTGTTTGTTTTAAACACAGTGTGATGAATGTTGGGCTATATTGTGTTTGTTTTAAACACAGTGTGATGAATGTTCGGCTATATTGTGTTTGTTTTAAACACAGTGTGATGAATGTTCGGCTATATTGTATTTGTTTTAAACACAGTGTGATGAATGTTGGGCTATATTGTATTTGTTTTAAACACAGTGTGATGAATGTTGGGCTATATTGTATTTGTTTTAAACACAGTGTGATGAATGTTCGGCTATAATGTATTTGTTTTAAACACAGTGTGATGAATGTTAGACAATATTGTTTTAAACAGTTTCTTTTTTAAAAGAAATTTGATGTTGTCAATGCAGAACATAATTTGAAAATGACGAATAATTGCTGTCATAAGAAAGTGTTGATAACTGAATAGGAGAGGGAAAAATCCTTAACATCTGTAATACCATGTAATACGTAATGTAACATCATGTAATAAATTTCACTTGAAAACCTTGTTTTTCAAACTTTCAGTTCATCACAAAATGTTCA